TCCTGACTAACCCACTGCCATTGAGTAGATACTGGCTCACAGTGACCTTTCAGGACAGGGCAGAACTGTCCCGCTGGGTTTCTGAGACTGTAACTCGCTACTAGGCTGGAAAGGCTAACCTTTGTCCCTCGGAGCAGCTGGCGACTTTGTGGATGGCAGCCCAATACATAACCACCACCTTACCAGGGCATCTCCGACACAATAGGAGGCTGTGCTGGGACCACCAAGAAACGTGAAAGACAGCTGCCTGGGCAACCAATCGAAAGAACTCTATACATATGCTCTTTCCAAGGAAAGATGATTCAAAAAACGTGGAAACTATTGAACACGGTCATTAATATCCTGACATAGCATTAACAAATTAAATTTCGGCTGGAGATAACGCAAAGTGAGCTGTGACAGCACATTGACAGGGAACTGTCAGAAAGTCTTGCTGGATTCCAAAGAGGACATGGGATGAGGGGTAGCATTGTTGATGTCTGATGGATTTTGACTAAAAGCAGAAAATACCAGGAAGATGACATTTACCAGTATGTAAATGCACTTGAATATTTGGATCGTAACAGATTATGAATAATTGTATAAAATAGGATTTCTAGAACACTTAATTATGTTCATGGATAGTCTGTGAATAGGCCAAAGGATAGTCATTTGAACCCAGCAATGAGGAGACTCACAGACGGGTCTGTGGTCTGACAAATGTTTGACTCCTGTGCTCATTATCCATTTAGACCATGTCATTGTCAGTAAAGGATGTGGCTAAGCATCTCTTCAGTCCTTTACTGGTGCTGGCTGGAGCTGGCTGGAAGTTGTAGTTGTGGGTCACGGCTACTGACAGTCCCTTTGGGAATTCACTCTACGTGAAAAGCAAAACTCTCTTCAAATTGTACAACCCTTTTATGTAGACTGAAAACTGAGAAACAACAGCATCAGAAGGACATTGGGCCTCCACTCAAAAACTCCCTCAATGAAAGAATACTTTCTTCTATTAAATTTTCATTCTATGATGCTCACCTTCCCGACACAACCGCTGAAGACAAAGCGGGTGAATAAGCAAATGTGGTGAAGAA